CAAAATAGCTTTTAATACAAAGACTATAATAAAAGACAAAGAAGGATATTACCTAATGCTAGAGAGATCAATCCGTCAAGAAAGTACAACCCGTGTAAACATGTATGTGCCCAACATATGAGCAGCTTAATATATAAAGCAAATATTGATGGACAGAAAGAGAGAAATTGACAATAGTACAGACATAGTTGGGGGCTTTAACAACCCATTAACATCAGTGGATAAAATTCCCAGACAGAAAATAAACAAAGAAACAGTGAACTTAAATGAAAACTTAATATTGATATTAAGTTTTCAATATTAATATTGAAAACTGATATTTGATATCAGTTCAATTGATATTTTCAGAGGATTTCATCCCAAAGCAGCATAATATATATTCTTTTCAACTGCACATGGATTTTTTTCCTCAATAGTCCACATATTAGGCCACAAAACAAGTTTTAATAAATTAAAGAAGTTTAAAATTATATCAGGTATCTTCTCCAACCACAAAGGCATGAAGCTAAGAATCAATTACAAGGAAAAAATACACAAAAACATAGAGGCTAAATAATGTGTTACTAAACAATTAATGTGTTATCAATGAGATCAAGGAAGAAATAAAAAAATACCTGTGAGACAAATGAAATAGAAAGCCAATAACTCCAAATCTGTGGAACACAGCGAAAGTGGTCCAAAAAAACAAAACAAAAATATCAAATAAATAATCTAAACTTATACCTATAGGAACATATAAAATAACAATAAACAAAGTCCAAAGTGAGTAGAAGGAGGGAAATAATGAATATTAAAATGGAAATAAATGAAATTGAGTAAAAAAAATCAATAAAACCAAAACCTGATTTTTGAAAAAGATATACAAGGTTAATAAACCTTTAACCAGACTCATAAAAAAAAAGAAGAAAAAGATAGGACCACATAAATAAAATCTGAAATAAAAAGGAGAAGTAACAACTGGCACCACGAGAAATACAAAGGAATATAACAAAATGTTATGAACAACTACATGTTAACAAATTGTACAATCTGGAAGAAATGGACAATTTCCTAGAAACATATAATCTTCTAGGACTGAATCAAGGTGAAACAAAATCTGAACAGTTGAAGCAGATTACAACCAATGAAATCAAAGTGATTATCAAAAAACTCCCAACAAACAAAGGTTCTGGACTGGATGTCTTCACAGATAAACTTTACTAAGCATCAAAGAAAAATGAACACCTATTCATTTTAAACTATCTCAAAAAAAATCAAGAGGAGGATAGATTACTAATCTAATTTTATGAGACCAACATTATCCCAATTCCAAAACCACATAAAGACACTATAAAGAAAGAAAATTATAGGCCAATATTGTTGATAAACATAAATGCAAAATTTTTCAACAAAATATTTACAAATTTAATCCAGCAATACTTTTAAAAGATCATACACTGTGATTAAGTGGGATGTATTCCTGGGATGGCAAGTTTGACTGATATCTACAAACCAGTTAACATGATATATCACATTTACATAATGAAGAATAAAAATCACATAATCATATCAATGGGTGCAGAAAAAGCATTTGAAAAAAATCCATGGCTCCATTATGATAAAAAAAAAAAACTTTCAGTGGAAAGTGGAAATAGAGGGAACATAACTCAACATAATAAAGGCCATATGTAACAAAAACCCAGCTAATATCATAATCAATAGGGGAAAACTGAAAGTGTTTCCCTTAAGATCAAGAATAAGGCAGGGATATTTACTCTCACCACTCTCACTGAACATAGTACTGGAAGTAATAAGCACAGCAATTTAGAGAAGAAAAAGAAGAAGAAATTAAAAGTATTCAAATTGAAAAGAAAAAAATTGTCATTAGGATGACATAACACTGTATATAGAGAACCCTAAAGATTCCACCAAAGAACTACTAAAACCGATAAGCGAATTTAGTAAAGTAGCAAGATACAAAATAAATATTCAGAAGTTCAGCTGCATTTTCATACACTAGTAGTAACTATCAGAAAAGGAATCTAAAAAAAATCCCATTCACAACAGCATTAAAAAATTAAATAAAACACCTAGGAATAAGTTTAAACCAAGAAGATGAAAGACCAGTACTCAGAATATTATAAGACATGGAAAAAATTGAAGATATAAATAAGTGGAAGCATATACTATGCTCATGGGTATGACAAATTAACATCATTAAAATGTCCATACTACCCAAAGCAATGTATAGATTCAATGCAATTCCTAAAAATACCAACAGCATTTCTCACAAAACTAGAACAAGTATTCAAAAAACTTATATGGAATAACAAACTCTGAATACCACAGCAATCTTGAGAAAGAAGGACAAAGTCAGAGGTATCATGCTACCTAATATCAAAATACACTACAAGAACATAGTAATCAAAACAGCATGGTACTGGCATAAAACCAGACACATAAATTATTGGAACATAATAGAGAGCATAAAAATAAATCCATGCCTGTGTTGTCAATTAATATATGACAAATGAGGCAAGAACATAAAATGGTGTAAAGACATTTTATTAAAAACATGACTTCAGGAAGGTGAACAGATATTTACCGAAATAAATGAAACTAGATACTTACCAACATATATAAGAATAAACTCAAAATAAAGTAAAGACTTAAATGTAAGACTCAAAACATAATAATATTAGAAGAAAGGATAGGCAATGCAGCAATATTTTTGCACATATCTCCTCAGGCAAGAAAAACTAAAAATAAACAAATGAGACTATGTATAATTTAAAAGTTTTCCACAGCAAAAGAATCTATAAACAAGTGAAAAGGCAACTTACTGAATGGGAGAAGAGATTCACCAATGATACACTCAATAAAGAGTTAATATTCAAAATTTACAAAGGACTAATACAACTCAACACCAAAAAAAATCCAATTTAAAAATGGGAAGAGGACCTGAATAGACATTTCTCCAAAGATGACATAAAGATGGCCAATAGACAAACAAAAATGTTCAAGTCACTAATCTTCAGAGAAATGCAAATTAAAACCACAATGAGATATTACTTCACACCTGTCAGAATGGCTATCATCAATAAATTAACAAACAACAAATGTTGGGGAGGACGTGGAGAAAAGGGCACTCTTGTGCACTATTGGTAGGAATGCAGTCTGGGATGTCACTGTGGAAAACGGAATGAAGTTTCCTAAAAAAATAAAAATAAAATTACCTTATTACCCGGCAATTTCACTTCAGGGTATTTATCTGAAGAAATCCAAAACACTAATTTAAAAAATGTTTGCATTCCTATGTTCATTGCAGTGTTATTTACAGTAACCAATATATGAAAGCAACCCAGGTGCCCAGGTAAACAATAGATGATTGAATAAAGAAGCCTGATGCATACGGACAAGAGAATATTGCTTGTCTGTAAAAAAAGAATGAAATCTTATGTTTACAACAATGTGGATGGACCTAAGTAAAATAAGTCAAACAGAGAAAGACAAATACCATATGATTTCACTTATATGTGGTATCTGAAGAGCAAAATAAATGAACAAACAAAATAGAAACAGATTAATAGACACAGAGATTAGACTGATTATTGCCAGAGAGAGGGGGTTGGGAAACTGAGTAAAAGAGATGAAGGGATTAAGTACAAGTTGAGAACCATAAAATAGTCATAAGGAAGTAAAACACAGCATAGGGAATATGGTCAGTAACAGTGTAATAACTACATACTATGCCAGGTGGGTACTGGAAATATCCGGGGAAACCATTTGTAAAGTATATGATTGTCTAAGCACTATGCTGCTATACACCTGAAACTAACACAAAATAATATTGAATGTAAACTGTAATTAAAAAATAAAAATAAAAAATAAATGCCTTGTGCCACAATATTGTGTTGAACAGCTTTAGGTTAAGAAGCCATAGAATTTTTTAACTTGAAGTCACTTTGAAATTTATAAGCCCATGGCCTCATTTTACAGGAGAATCTCATGCTTTGGGTCTTGCCTAAGGCCATACTGGAGCTGAGATCAACCAGGTTTCTTGCCTCCCAGCCCCACACCACCACAGTGGAAGAGGAAGATGCTCCTGTTTTATTGAGGAAAATAAGTGTTTGTACTGTTCTTTCAAGTTAACTTTAAAATTGAAAGGATAAATCTTTGCACTGAGCCACTTAAATGTCCTCTTGCCCAGGTCCTTTTCATTTGATTATCCGCAATTAGCACAGAGATATACACATTTATGTTTTCCTTCCACACTAACCTAAATTCACATAGCCCTTCTTTAATCCCTGCTCAAAGTATGCAGCTCAGCTTAATGTGATGACAGACATCCTCTTCCTATGTAGCAGGCCATGTGTGAGCACTTCACTTGTACCATCTCATTTAATCCTCACCATAATCCTCTGAGATCCCTACTATTGTTACCTTCAGTTAGCAGATTAAGAAAACTGAGGTTTAGCCCTGGCTGGCGTAGCTCAGTGGATTGAGTGCGGGCCTGCGAACCAGAGTATCACGGTTCGATTCCCAGTCAGGGCACATGCCTGGGTTTCAGGCCAGTTCCCAGCAGGGAACGCTTGAGAGGCAACCATACATTGATATTTCTCTCCCACTCTTTCTCCTTCCCTTCCCCTCTCTCGAATAAATAAATGAATAAATAGTGACGCCGGGAGCAGGGTGGCACAGCCGGGTGTCTCGGCAATCCCCATGAGGCAGAGCAGAATGTGAGAATCCAAGTGGTTCAGCGAGGCCCAGCACACAGAGTTTACCTTCCGGTTGGTGAAGTAGAGGTTCTCGTGCATGTGCACCCTGAGTGTGGGGGTCTTCAGACCATGCAGGCTGATGATGCCATACTTGGAGCCTCCAACTTTGACATCATTCACTGTGAAGAGCCGGTTGCTGTTGGTATCTGCCAGTATGAGGTTAAATCGGTCGCTTGCCAAAGCAGAGGGATCCGAGCTGTGAATCTGAACCTTCTTTCTCTGCATGCAGCTAACTCGAAGCTCATGGGCTAAACGGCAATAACTGGGGACACTGAGAAAACCCAGCTTGCTTTTTTGTAGCAAGGAATAGGCATTCAATCCCATTCTGGTTATTTTCTTTTTCTGCTTGTCCTCTTCCTCCAGCAGCCGCAGCCGTTTGTGCTCCATCTCCTTCTGCTGGATGCTCTCCCTCAGGGGACCGCCCTGGCATGCTCTGCAGTTTCCGGATCCCTGGGGCCTGGTCCTGCGCGTGGTCCATGAACGCGCAGGTCAACAACTGCTTCAGTACAGGCTTGTCCCGGTGGGTCCTGGTGACCAACGTGGTGACGGGACACCGGCTATCATTTGGGACCAGCAGTGATGTTTTGACCCAGCAGTTTGCTGTCATGACTCCTTTGCTGTTTAATGGCTGTCGCTCCGGGGAGATCTTTGCCATTGATATGCGTTGTCGAAACGAAGGCAAGAACTGGAAGGCCACCCGCCTGTTTCACCACTCAGCAGTGACATCTGTGCAGATCCTCCAAGAAGAGCAATGCTTGATGGCATCCGACATGGCTGTGGGACCTGAGGACCACTAAGTGTGTAAAGCAGTACGAAGGTCACGTGAACGAGTACGCCCTCCTGCCCCTGCACGTGCACGAAGAAGAAGGAATCATGGTGGCAGTGGGCCAGGACTGCTACACGAGAATCTGGAGCCTCCACGATGCCCAGCTGCTCAGAACCATACCCTCCCCACACCCCGCCTCCAGGACCAACATTCCCAGTGTGGCCTTCTCTTCTAGGCTCGGGGGCTCCCAGGGGGCGCCGGGGCTGCTCATGGCCGTCCAGCAGGACCTCTACTGCTTCTCCTACAGCTGATTCTGCAGGGGGCAGCCTGGACGACTGTGGATTTGGCTTAAGGGAGTAAAAAGTAGCCTTACTTCTGCCGTAATTGCTGCTTCCAGCGAGGGCATTTTAAGTGGATGTTCTGTGTACACAGACCCCATCCATCCAGCTGCTGCAGAGAAAGAAGGTGCTCTGTGTTCCATGGAGACACTTGACTAAACTTAAATTGTGGGCTCAGAGAGCTTAAAAGTCCTTTTCATAAAAGGTACCTATTCCCTTTTGTTGAATTCCTTAGACTAGTCCCTTCCCCCGCTTTTATTTAAAAAAAAAAAAACCTTTTCTAAGAGCTGAAAAAAAAATAAATGAATAAATAAATAAACAAATAAACTGAGGTTTAGAGACCTTAGGTCCACGTGTCCAAGGTCACTCAGCTTGGAAGTGGCAGAGCTGATATTTGAACCTTATCTGCATAATTTGAACCAAGCTCTGAAGCACCACAATGTTCTGCTGAAGAGTCAGTCTTAAACTATTAGCAGCAGTCCTTTTGTTCAGAAAGCCTCTACATCACCACAAGTCTGGAAAACTTCTTTAAAATGTTACCATGTACAGAACACAAGGCCCCTTCACTCAGAGTTAGGACCCTCAGCTTCCTGATGTACTGCTCCTCATAATTATACACCATAATCCTGTTTCATGTTTTATGGAACAATTTAAGTAATCAATTTAGATTATCGCCCGAAGAAAAACCCCATTATACTGCTCTGGAGCCAGCTTCCCTGGTCAGCCCACTAGCTGAACATCAAACATGTCCTTGTCAAATGTCTTGCTGTGAATACCTGAACCTCACAATACTTCACAGAAACAACATTGTTATCTTAACTGTGAGGCTTGCTAAGCAAAATAAGCCTTTATTTAATGCCCTCCAGGAAATTACTTCAACAATTAATTTGGAGACATTGCTCTCTCTCCCTTTTCTGTTCCTCACATTCAACTCTAAATATAATCACCAGTGTCTGCTAGTTGTATTCTGACAGAACTGGTTTAGCACATTCTCCAGAAGCATGAAGGTTATTCTTTTTAATCATTACATCACTGTTCTTAACATAAGATAGTTAGTACACTGAATGTTTTTGTCACCACAATGAAACAAGTTTCTTTAACAACAGATCAAACGACTTGCTAAACAGAGTTCCTTTATAGCTGTAGAAACCCTTTCCCGCTATAACCCCTTGGCAACTAAATATGTTGTTCCCTTAACAATGTTCCCAAATTACTTTGTACTCTGGGTCTTAAAAATGCAAAGTGAATCTCTCCTATAGAGATCCTACTAGACTATTTTGAGTAGATCAACTCCCTCTGCTAGGTACTGAGGAGACACATACACATGCATACATATATACACATACATACAAATATATACTCACATAAATACACACACATACACATACATTCTCTCATAAAGTGTTCCAGTTTATCCTTAAATAGGTCACTCTTTAGTAAGGAAAACAGATACATATCTGACAGTACAGTGTAATAAACATATAATGCAAGGACAGTTTCTATTGGAGCACAGAGGAGAGACATACTGTATCCAAACCATAATAAGTTTCCAAGTGGAGGAAATTACTGAGTTCTACACAAAGAAGGAAATACATACAAACTTGGATGGATGGATGGATGGATGGATGGATGGATGGATGGATGGATGGACTCACAGATAAGTGATATGATAGACATGCAAACAATATCAATAACTATAACAGAGTTTGCCTGAGGCACTGTGGGTTGTGGAAGAGGCAACAACTAAGTTCCAATAAACACAGAGGAGTTCTCTTGAGAGAAGTGCTTCTATAAGGACCAGGAGTCACCTGGCAGAGGAAGGGCTTTGTAGGCTGCAGGGAGGGGCTTTTCAGCAGCACCAAGAAGGGAGAACTTAGCATGTCTGGAAATGTTTGATTTGTCTAAAGTAGGGTTCAGTTAGGAAGAGGGGCTATGGGAAAAGCCTACCCATGTACCTGAGGTCAAAGAACATGGACATCCAGCAAAGGATTTGGGATTTTGTCCTAAAGATGATAGAGAGCTGTGGAAGGATAACCAAGTAGATGACTTGGGGTTCAGAAAGATAGTTATGCTAGTGGTGACTGGGCAGGTGGCCTAGAGAAGTGGTCAGCATTCTAAGTCTATTGCAGTAATTCCAAAGAAAGAATGAGGATCTGAAAAAGGACTGCTGCAGTGAGCAAGAAGAGACAGAGTTGGGTATATTTTTTTAAATTACTTTATTGTGAGAGCATTATGGTAAGTGAAATAAGCCAGGCAGTGAGGGACAAATACCATATGATATCACCTTTAACTGGAACATAATCAACAGAGTTGGATAGTTTTAAAATATATATTTAAGGGATTGATAACTTGGATGTGAGTGGCCGAGGGGAAACTAAAGACAGCAGTGCAGTAACCTTTCCACCACCAGCACCCATAGTGACAGAACAAATGAATAACAGGTATGCTGTGATCACCCCCAAGGTGGCCCCTTAACCAGACAGCTCCAAGGGCTTTCCAGCTGTACTTCCCCTTTCTTGGCCCCCAAGTTGACAATTGTAGAAATGGACACCATTTATGGAACACATCTTTCCATATTCTGGACTAAACACTTTACACACATCACCTGACCTAAGACTGCCTAAAACTCTTAGATGAATTCCCATTGTGCTGATGAGGACATAGAAGCTTCTAAAAATCAACCAAGTCGCCTAAGATTATACAACAGGTCTAGGGTTTAAATCCAAGTGTAGAATAACTGCAAAGCCTTTGTTTCTCTACTGCAGTAGATAGCTTTGTCAAATATCATCTCCTTAGAGTTCTGACTCTCCCTACCTCTCCACCAAATTGATTACTCTCAATTACACAGCCTAGGTCAGTGCACAGAATTAAAAAGGCCATGACCCAAGGCATGGGCCAGTCATACACAGCTTTTTGGTTCTGTTAGTGCAGAGTTTAAGTTTACAAAAATTTACCCTCCTAGGGTTTCACATGGGACCTTGTAAGTCCCACATCTGGGTATGCACTCAAATCCCAAGAACACTGTGCCAGAAACTGAATATCAGACTCCTATAACAGATTCTTTCATATTTTTTAATGCGGCAGAACTCCCAGTTTTTTGTCAGTCCTCTTTTGCTCTTAATTAGAACTACATTTTTCAGGTTCTTTTGTCTAGTGTGGCCAAGGGAACAAATTTTGGTCAATGAAGTTCAAGCAGCAGTATAACATGCACATCTTGAGAAATACTACATACAAAGGAGAGGGCCACTTCATTGCCCCTTTCTCCTTCCCACAGGCTGGAATATGGACATGATGGCAGGAGCTCCAGCATCCAGTATGGATTATGAAGCCTTGGGAGTGGCAGCACAGAAACCTGTGAGGAGCCTGGATCTCTAGGGACTTGATGCAATAGCCATATCAGCACTGGACTTTCAACTTTCCAAACTTTTTAAAGGTGATTCAGACATTTTGTGTTTTAGCCAGTGTTAATTTATGTTTTCTATTACTAATAACTAACCTTACTCCTAATAGTTACAAGCAACAAAATTATGGAGAAGCTCTTGCTATGTCCTCTATTTTCTCTAAATTAAACATGTCACCTGCTAAGTGATTCATGATGACTCTCTTAAAGCAGGAAAAGCTTCCTGCATTGCAGGACGCACATTCCTCTTCATACCACATTTTTCTATATCATGGAGGAAGGGGAAATGGCCAGAATACAAAATAACACATTCTTCAGCTGAATAAACAGACTGTCCAATTTTAATCATCTACACTCTGATTTCTCATGGCCTATTTACATTTGTTCTGTATCATTAACTACTAACCAAAACTCAACAAGTTTCTGACACACGCAGTCCAGAACCCTGTATCAGTCATGACATCTGTCTCCCCCATAAAGACAGCAGAAGCCTCCACATCTCAGATACTTTGCCCCAAATTACAAGCATCTGGTAGTGATCTAGATTCTTCATTCATTCAATGCACCGACCATAATAGTTAGCTTTTTTTCTCCCTGCTGACTATTCCAAAGCACATATCTTCTAGACAGAAGAGAGGTAGTATGCTAGGGAGACACTGGGTGAACAGAGACCCAGCCTATCCTGCAAGGCCTCAGGCTATGACTCAACCTACTCTGAAATAGGCCTCTTTGACCATGCTATTCTATCTTTTTAATGTATGCATTCTTCCCACAGCTACTACATTATATAAAATGGGAAGTGATCATTTGGTAAATGTCCCTTAGCATTAGTTGTCTGATATGTGTTCTAAACTGTACTAGGAGCTTAGAAGCCATGGAAAGAAAATACATGGTGATTACTGCTCTCAAGTTCCCAGACAACAGCCATGAAATTTTTCTTATGATTCTATGAAAACCACATACTTTTTTAAAAAAACAAACATTCTTTCAGAGCCCAGTAAGACCTTGCACCTTCTGGTCTCTGGCCACCAGAACTCCTGCAGGCCTTCTTTTTTTTTAAGATTGTATTAATTTATTTTTAGAGAGAGCGGAAGGGAGGGAGAGAGGAAGGGAGAGAAACATCAATGTGCAAAAGATACATCAAACGGTGCCTCTCACCTGCCCCTACCTGGGGAGCTGGCCTGCAACTCAGGCATGTGCTCTGCCTGGAAATCAAACTGGTAACCTTCTGGTTCACAGGCTGGCACTCAACCCACTGAGCAACACCAGCCAGGGCTACATATTTTTTTTAAAGATTTTATTTATTTATTTATAGAGGGAAAGGAGAGAGGGAGAGAAACATCAATGTATGGTTGCCTTTCATGCATCCCCCTGCTGGAAACTGGCCTGCAGGGGAGCAGTCTGCAACCCAGGCATGTGCCCTGACTGGGAATCGAACCGCGATCCTCTGGCTCGCAGGCCCACACTCTATCCACCGAGCTACACCAGCCAGGGCTACATATTTTTTAAATATTGATTTTTTTCTGTGTTTCTGTTTAAAGCAGAAATCAGAATCAGAAATTATGTCTGTTTACATGTAAATTAATATAGAACAATAATAATAGTCTACAAATGTCCTTACAAATCTCCCATCCAAGTAGTAACCAGGCCTGGCCCTGCTTAGCTCCCGAGATCAGATGAGATCGGGCATGTTCAGGGTGGTATGGCCATAGACTGTCCTTATATATCAAAGAAACTTTTTCACTCCTTGCAACAGAGAACATGGCCATAAGGAAAATTTTAACAGTGATGTTGGAGCATCCCAGACTTACTGTGAGTACTCAG